AATAGGTTTTCCTTTAGAATTCTTAATGGTACACGGAAATGAGCGCCCCCTCAATTAATACGGTGGCTTTGGGTTAAATCCCAGGAAGATTAAGGCTAGGATAAAGTCTAAAATTATTTTTACTTTTAATTTCGGGGTAATTAGTTATTATGGTTGAGGGTAGGAAACGAGAATAGGTATCCGTCTCTCTGATCTTACCTAATTTTTTCTGAATATGGATGTTATTTAGCCTTGCGTATTGATAGGTTCGTAGAGAACAGTTTAAGTTGAAAGTAATCTTTAAAGATACAGCCAAACCCAACGGACTTGCAAGTGTCCCATTATGCAAAAAACTATCCAGCTCGTCACATGGTAGTCAACGGGACATCACGTGCAGGCAACAAATAGAACTTCAGCAACTTTACGTCCACAGCTACTATGCCTTACGGACAGAGCAAACTATGTGGAAAAAATGACCCAATCGCTGAAACAATTGGTTTATTTACGTGACCCTTCAGATTCACTCTCGAATCCATCATTACAGACAGGAGTATATAAGGGGTGGGTTACTTCGGGAGGAAGGAAGCAGTCTATAAAAGTTCATGCGCCATTTGTGGTGCAGTCTACTGTAGCTAAACCGGAAAATTTACTATCAATCATGTACAGGAACATGCGCCTACGGTGATGAGACAATGTCTTTATTTCAGGGTAGCGCACGCCCGCTCGACACAGAACACAAACTTGCATGGGAGGACGTTCATACTGTAGACATCTACCCAGAGAGGAATGGCCGCGAGTTCCTTGAAACAATGCAGTCAAAAGAGACGTGAATCAATATACATACCGATTTTGATGTCTGTCATCTGAGAAGGACGATGTCCATTCTAACCGGTTTGGCACACACAGCAGACACGACTCCAGCGATGAGGATCAGGACTACACCTGCCCTCACTGCGACCGAACCTTCACCTCCCACATCGGCCTGGTCAGTCACTTGCGAATCCATCGCACAGAGACTGGCGAACCAGTGCCTGGAGCACCAACCTACACCCACCGCACTCGCCTCCACTGCCAACACTGCCCGCGCACCTTCACGCATCGCATGGGCCTATTCGGCCACATGCGCATCCACGACGACCTGCGGTAGACAACCGCCGGTCACACCACACATTCACTCACTCCCTACCTCCCACCACCACCATCAGCCCACAAGACATCAACACTCACACACCACATGCACCCAACTGCCACCTCCCACGCAAGTGGGAAGTGTGCATCTCGACTGGGTCCCCATGCAGCTTCGGCTGCACGGGTGACTTGTGTCCGAGACTATCCCGACACGTCAAGCGTCGTGGATAGGAAGGCTGTTGACTGACGCCCGCACTCGGTCCACGCAGTTCGTCGCGTTGTGCGTGTGTGTGTTTGTTGTGTGTAGTGGCGGACTGGTGGGCTGGGAACGGGCTGAAGTAGCACCTTCCACGGCACTCTCACGCCAGTGAGAGGCACGCCATTCAACCCCCGTTGTGTGTGTGTGCGCCTGGCCCACACTTACCGCTAACTTCTTAACTTTTCGCATTTGCTGATGTAGTTAATGACTTTATTTCTGTTTATCGATATGAATAGGGTGCTCAAGGGCGAAAGCCTCATTCCCTTAATAAACTGACTTAAACTGACTTAGCCTTGGGTTACAGGATTTCCGCGCGCTGACACGTCCCAATTCGCACCGTTCGAATTGCGCCATCCGTCTCGTCAACCCATTGAAGTAATAGAACAAGTATATGACCGAAATGCGAGTTTTCCCAGAGTGCGCTTACGAAAACGCAGTCCCCACTTACCGCCTGTCCTAAACTCCAATCGACTTATTTGACACACACACACACACACACACACACACACACACACACACACACACACACACACACACACACACACACACACGACAGTTCGTCCGTCGATTTCGACGATGACCACCGTGTGCCCCACAGACTGCATTGTGGGAGCAGGGACGGTGACTTACGCAGGGGTTTATAGTGCCAGTAGACTTGCGTAGCATCTACCTACACTCTCTCCTCCTCCCCCGCCTGGGCCCGGTGTCAAGACAGAGTCAAGAAGACCGGAGACGGGGGAGGCCGCAGGTGGATGGCTCGGACGGATCTTCGCCTTGGCGCTCCACTCCGCAACCCTGGTCCACACACCAATGACCAGGATTTTGACCACAAAACAATGGGGTGGAGGCAGTGGTCCAGTTGAGCGACGAATGCCGACAACAGGGTCCGCCAGCGCACCCCGGGAATGTTGGCATTTGTTATTGCGCACAGATAACGCCTGCCAATGTCCGATGTGGCCCCCGTGTTGGTCCAGCGCATCTAACACGTGGCCCGTTTGGAGGGCACACACACACACACACACACACACACGACAGTTCGACCGTCGATTTCGACGATGTCCACCGTGTGCCCCACAGCTGCAGCAGCGGTGGGAGCAGGGACGGTGACTTGCGCAGGGGTTTATAGTGCCGGTAGACTTGCGC